AGAAGAGAGAGAGAAGAAGAAGAAGAAGAAGAAGAAGAAGAAGAAGAAGAAGAAGAAGAAGAAGAAGAAGAAGAAGAAGAAGAAGAAGAAGAAGAAGAAGAAGAAGAAGAAGAAGAAGAAGAAGAAGAATAATAATAATACGATGGAGGAATAATAACAACAGAACCCAGAGCCGGTCATCGATCAACACTAAAGTCCAGCAGTGGGACACAGCGGCCACTTGCTTTTCCTTCCCACGGGCGAGGTTCGTCTGGTTCTAGTCTAAACTCAACCACCACTTAATGACTGGAGAGGAATGAATCACGCTAGGAGTTCCCACCCCAGCAAAGCACCCACTGCAGGGCGATTTCGATGGATCGAAGATGAGATGGATCATGGATGCGGTCTCCGTCATTAATAGTAACAAGTGGTTGCAGGTGCCCTTCGAAAAGGAACAAAATAAGAGTGAAAGTGACAGAAATGGAAACAACGGCAGGCTCTTTCTGTGAAGCTTCCCTTGAATGCTTACCTACTACTCGACCTGATCCCAGCGAAGGAGAGCCCCCAACAGCCGCGGGGATTTTTGGATCTAGCTTTGTTACATCTGCAAGGTCAGCATTGTCAGTCACCTTCTGACTACCTGTAACTCTTACCGGCAATTTTGGCAGATCGCAGCCATGTTGATTGGAGAGGAAGGAGGGAAAGTATGGAGCGGGGATTATATGCAGGCCATTTTCTGCTACGCTCCCATCAGGAAGTCCTATGTAGTCAGCGCAAAGCATGCTCCAGCAAGTACAGTACAAGAGAAGTTCCGTCCTATCGACCGGTACTTTGACTCGATATTGCATAGCACACTGACTTACTGAGATGGATGCAATTACTTATAGATTGTCAGAATCAGGAAGGAGAGTGGATTCTCGGTCGCTCGATCAATGAGAAGTTGCCCGAGAATACGGATCAGCTCGAATCGAAACAGAAGCCAACTTGTGTCGATCCAACAGTCAGATTACTTTGAGATTCGATCTTGATTTGTGACCTACTCACTTCGCATCCATGGGGCTAGTGATACCTCAGGTACGGAGTTGTCTAGGTCCAGACAAGGTGGAGTTGAACTAAGTATGTGCTAGTACTGTGCAATAATAACTAGTAGTAACTTACTCACTACTCACTATCCTTGTCAGAATTTCAAATTATAATGGTGTAATTATGACGATGTGCGCGAACCTTGCACCACCAGTTATCTAGCGTGCACGATCCGATACCCTGTGCGCTTGGTCCAAGACTAGTACTACCCGCCCCCTCTGTCTGATCTTAGCAAATGACATTTCACAACTCTAAGGGTCGCCGGCGCTGGAAATATCGAAATTCAGTGGTTGAGTCGAATCGAATCCACACCAGTAATATGTGTAACGTTATGTGTTTACTGTTAGCCGTTTATAAGGCCTGGAATAACCTAATGATTAATTAGTTACACCACCTCGTTATGCGTTCGTTGAAGGCCGGGCAACAGTGAACAAAACTCGCCCCATGATGCAATGAAATGGTTTCTTGGATAGTTCTCTGGGAATTCGGCTTGCAGTGCGCCCGGTCAAGTACTGTTTGTGGACGGAGCCTGGAGGGCACGCAGTGATTGTGGAATGAGGGTCCGTTTGGTGACACCAAGCCGTCCCATCCCCACTTCAGCAGCTGTAGGCTGTAGTTAGCTTTCGGATGGGCCGGCGAGAACTACATACTAAGTAGGCATTGGAAAATAAATTGAGTGTTCACAGGTATTAGCAACTGATATTCTACGTACTCGTACCTACGAGCACATACATAGAAGTAGCTTTTGAGATTCTTGCTTGACAAAAGAAGGAGATCTGGATCGGGCTTTCAGCCAAGGTAACTCAGATCGCATCGATTTCCCGCCCTAGACAGATGATCTCTGAACTGATATACACTGTACTCTGTAAGTAGGTGAGGCTTATGGCAATAACGATTAGCGACGGTACTATGTGCTGTACTACGGAGTAGCCCGTCAGCCTTTCAGGTACAGCACCTACCGAGGGTCGTTCCAAGGCACGGGATTGAAGGGAACAAGCGGGATGGACTATGCCTTTTTACCTTACTTTTCTCCAGTCCCACAGCGCACTCCTCTTCCCTTTTCTAGCTCTTGCTCGAGCTGATAGAAAATCTTCTGCCGCCCTTTCCTCGGCCCCGATTTCCCGCTACGTATTCACTCCCGCTCCTGGAGAATGACGACAGACCACACTTTGCATTACCCGCCAAGCGCGCAATCATTTTCCGAGAGTGGCTGGATTTTGTCGACTTTTATGTAAAGCGTACCAAAAAGCTGTGATGGATGGATGGACAACTGAATATGTAGTCTCCGATCTGTCATCGGCCCCATCTAGTTCAGGACATGTTAATCCAGTGCGCAAACAAGCAGACCTACACAGTGCACAAGCGCCAGCCGGCAAGCTTTGGCCACTATTTTCATCTGTCCCTCCGATCTGAACAGCGCTACAATCCCCAGCAGCACGCGAACAACCGAAGGAGGTTGGTGAGGAAATAGTAAACCTGATAAATTACTAGCGGGCTTGCTGGTAGTACGTCTCAGATGTCAAAATGCCAGGCCAACGATGTCCCTTTTAATTAAGTTATCGGCAGTACTCCGTGTCTACCTAGACTACTCCGTCGCTCCGAGCTTAATTGGTAGGCCCAAAGACCATAAATATTGTGATTAGTATTACCTAGTGACAGATCACATTAGTCGAGAGGGAACGTGGGCTGCAAGTTTCTTCCCAGCCGGGGTGCTCCGCTTTTCCTGGCCCGGCCGATAGTCGGTCGGGCGGTCGGGATGGAGCCTTGAACTATTCGTGTTAACTTACAAGTACGTCGCTACTGTACACTATGAAAGAGAATTCTCATTTCGTGTTACGCAGTACTTCAGATCCAGAGCTATTGACTGCTATTGCCAACGGTCTTGGACCTGTTATTGTTTCGAAAAGATGTCACATCATTGCCGTTGCTGCCCTTGAATCGAGATCACCGACGATAAAGATTTAGAATGAAAACCACACACATAGTCGAATCTTTCATGATACTCGACCTTTGACTATCCCATGCATTACCCTGCTTCAGGTGCATCACCTGCCTTAATTATCCATCATTGCCTGAGCAACAATAATATCTCCAACCAGTACCAATCTTTTGGCCGCGATTCTTCGTATTTCAGGGTTTGTTCAAGGCTCTTGTTTCAGGGTCTCCTTTTTGGCCCCTTTGCGGGCATAAACAGACATGAGCCCTTGCTGCTCAAGACACCTTGGAATTGGCTAGCTCTTCCCCCACGCTCCTTTGGGTCCGTCAAAATCAGGAACCCGCCATTGCCCTTACAGTACTTCTCTAATCCGAGCTGATAGTGCGGCTAATCTCCTAGGTGATTCCTGCATGTATCATCTGTCCTTATCTCCTTGGACAAATCGGGCCTTGATTGGAGAATCTAGCAGGGATTGCATGGTTCCGTGAACAACTTTCTTGACGCGAATCACACGAAACTCAAATTGACCATTCTGGCAAGAACCTATCAAGTCTACCTAGTACCGTGTTTTCTCTCCCAGAGCGGGTAGCGCCCTTGAACGAAGCTTTGGTGTATATCGAACTGGTGGCTAAGCTGAACCGAACGGCGCCAAACACTCCTCAGCTTGGGATTGGCGCGAGGGAGGAGCTCGACTCTGACCGTTGCTGTACATAAAGCCACTGGACTTCCGGTGTTCTCCGGCCTTCGTATTCTGCAAAACCATAGCATTGTTCAATAGCTGTAGCAACGAGTTCACCACGAGTTCACTAAGGCTACGGTGAGCCTCGTACCTAGGCTGTCCCCACACTCCTGACCCTGAGTGCACCGGTACAGTACATGCTCACCGCCTACCGCCTGCCTAACTTCCTGGATAGCGCATAGATTGGTAATCTGAGGTAGCGTACTCAACCCATTCAGTTAATACTGTAATGATATTGCAATTTTGCCCATAAAGTTATGTACAGTAAATCAAAATCATTACTACCCACTTACTGGACCCCCAACAGATAGGCCAAAAACAAGAAGGTAGATGAGAACTGCACATTCCTAGAAAGCCAGAATCAGGCCCCCACGAATTGCATAGACAAGAACAAAAGAGGCGAATAACAAGTGTGTGAAAGCCCAGTCGAAGACCACACATAGATACAGTACCGGAGCTTGGGCGTCCTTAAGAAGATCAGTAAGCTCGATCCGCATGTTCCCAGCTCAGCTCGCCAGCTCACTTCGCGTCGGTGCTCGTACAAGTCTGATAATCCACATCTGTCCCTCGCTGTATGTCATTGTTCAGAGGGGCTTACTTGTTGCGACCCTCTTCACCATGGAGACGAAATCAGTTACTTCATTATAAGAAATTCAAGGAGCCAGAACATGACCCTGTGCTGGAAAATCCCAACGAGTTCAATGTCGCCGGCAAAGACGTGACGGACAGATTGCTAGGTACTGAGAGCGCGGAGGTTTTTCACCAAGAGTCATCCTTTGGGAGATACCCATACTTTATTGCTGGGTGCAAGATGTTCAGTATCAATTGGTATGGACAAACCGGACAAACAAAAGTTGGTTGCCTTTGTTCTTTTATAATCTGAGGCCTCTCTCACGTGCCTGGATTCAATTGTGACCAGAGATGGCTGACTGAGCTGATAAGATAAGATCGGGCTGCGGCTGACTGACCGCGTAACGGACAAGCTGGCGGTGTTTTGCTGCTGCTGCTGCCGCCTGCCGCTTCTCCTACTTACGTTACCAAATCGACCCCCTCGCTGTCCTCTACCCATTAATTACACCACGTCCTTTACGGCAATTTCGAAGCTTCTATTGCTAGGCACTACAGGTTATACTTGGTGTTGCACTTCATTCAAGATGGTGTGTTCTTACTCTCCGCCCCTGAGCTTCTCGTCTGTTAACACGGTCCCCCGCGAGGGGGGATAGGCGGCTGCGCAAGTGATCTCCAATTCTGGACACGACGATATGATTGTATGTTGACTGCGGGCGAAGGACAACTCCATTGTGATCACCTGATTACAGTAACCTCAATTAGCACTTTCATATGCTGACCGGGTTGGGCTGTAGCACGACGCGGGTCTGGACTACTATGGCCGCAGATTGGCGACATGCTCCTCGGACAAGACGATAAAGATTTTCGAGGTTGAGGGTGAAACGCACCGACTAGTCGAGACTCTGAAGGGGTAAGAAGTTTCAACAAGCACACAAGAGCATAAAAGTACAATCTGTGATTCTGACCCAAAATCATCGACTTAGCCATGAAGGAGCAGTGTGGTGTGTTGCATGGGTATGTTATAGAAGATGCCGAAGTTGACGAGCCTCTTTCGAGTCTTTCGCTGTGCATTAATGACTTGATGCTTAACTGTAATCCATCTAGGCGCACCCGAAATTCGGCACGATTCTGGCCTCCTCCTCCTACGATGGAAAAGTGCTCATCTGGCGTGAGCAACATCAGAACACAACGTCCCCCGTTGGCGGTGGTGCCTGGACTAAAGTCTTTGATTTCTCGCTTCATACTGCTTCGGTGAACATGGTGTCCTGGGCTCCTCATGAAAGTGGTTGTGTCTTGGCCTGCGCCTCCTCGGACGGTCATGTTAGCGTCCTTGAGTTTCGCGACAACAGCTGGACTCATCAAATCTTCCATGCGCACGGTATGGGTGTGAATTCCATCAGTTGGGCGCCCGCTGCAGTCCCAGGAAGCTTGATCAGCGCCAAACCTGGACTGGGCCAGCAGCGCAGGGTTGTGACAGGTGGAAGTGATAATATGCTCAAGATCTGGGATTACAAGTAAGTCCGTTGCGCTTTTACATATTAAAAGCTTGCTAACCGATACGTCACCATGATACAGCCCTGAGTCTAAGTCATACAACCTCAACCAATCACTAGAAGGCCACACCGATTGGGTCCGGGACGTCGCCTGGTCGCCCAGCATTCTTTCCAAGTCCTACATCGCATCCGCTTCGCAAGACAAGACTGTTCGGATCTGGACCTCTGATGCATCAAACCCCGGGCAATGGACCAGTCAGCAACTCGAATTCGACACTGTCCTGTGGAGGGTAAGCTGGAGCCCTAGCGGCAACATTCTCGCGGTGAGTGGCGGAGATAACAAAGTCAGTCTGTGGAAGGAGAACCTCAAGGGACAATGGGAGAAGGTCAAGGATATAGAAGAGTAGGGCTTTTGCTTTTCTACTGTCTGGTTATGCGCCTCACATCTATTGCAGTAATAGTTATATCGAGCGTCTGCCGGTCATTGTATACAACATTTAAACTTGTTCGCACTGGTAAAATAGTTCCTAAAAGCAAGCATTTATACTCGGTCATCCCAGAATGGATCTATGCATTTGAATAAAGCAGTCAAAGCAAAGCTACGAAAGTAAGCTACCAAGGCAAGCAGTCTTTGTAGTCAAGGTATACAATACATCACAGCAAAAATAGAGCTAGATTGGATCCTAAATCTTCTATATTGGATTCAACGTGCTGATTGATTCTAGGAAGTCAACCAACTTGAAAGATATAGCTCAGTACTGATCACTTACTAGCCAGGACCTTGCAGAATTTGATACTTATGTGCTTTGTGATTACCATAGTCAGATGATTCACCCCTCCAGATTGTTCTGCTAAATTCATCTCATTCTTAGTGGGGGACGCCAGCTAAGTCCGTGCCCGTCCGTTATCAGTCACAACTAGAGAAAGACTTTTGACCTTGGCATCTGGACTACTCCGTAGCACCTTGCACCTGGTTTAGGGACGACCATGGCCCCGTGCCAGACTCTCTTGAACGCCCCAACCATTGGCCAGGAGATCTTTAACCTCTTCAAGGCTGAGCCCACTCATCTCGGGGTAGATAGCCCACACGCCAATCCACCCCAGTACGCATACAGCCGCATAGGTCGCGAAAGTCCATGCTGGTGATAGCCATTCCATCATAGGTAAAAATGTCAACCCGACGATGAAATTCGATCCCCAATTCGTAGCTGTTGCAAGAGATGAACCTAACGAGCGTACGTTCAGCGGAAAGAGCTCCGACTGTTGCCAAGGAACATTGCCGAGGCCAAAGGCGTATGAGGCCGTATAAACCGTGAGACAGATAAGGACTAGTGAGGGGAGGAGGGAATCTTCGACCATCGCAGCATTGGCTCCGTTTGATCCCTCAGGTTCGAATGATGACCTAGGAAGAGCTAAAGTCCCGAAGGCCATAGCGCAAGCAACGAGCGAAAGAACCATGACAGGTATGGAATAAAGCAGAATGCGTCGCCGGCCAATTCTATCAATATATATGAATGCCAAAAGTGTGAAAACGAAGTTGGTCATCGCTACAGCCAGTGCTGTGAGGGTAGGGGAGGAGAATGAAAGAATAGCAAAAAGTGTGCTCGAGAAGTATAATAAACTGTTGAACCCGCATAGCTGCTGTAGGCCTTGAAGAATAACTGCTATTATCAACGCTCTGCGGTTACCACCAACAAGAAAGAGACTGCGGGTGCGCTGGGTGGCATTTGCAAACCAGTTTTCACTGTGTCCGGGAGACTTGTTTGAATAACCTGTGATCTCGGCCTCATCGGCAACTTCTTGTTGGATATCATGCAAGATGCTCTCGACAATTTGCACATTTTCGTCGTGAGCCTGGTAGACCTGCAATAGGACATTTGTGGCTGCGTTCTCGAGACCTGCCTGCACCAACCATCGTGGAGTTTCGGGTAGAGTACCAACAGCGATACACTGAAAGATAGCAGGAACTATCCCAAGGCCGACAATATAGCGCCAACCGCCAGGTGTCTTGGACAAAAGCCAGCCAACAATGTAAGCTATGACTTGCCCCCCAGTGATGAGTAGACACAAGATCGTCACCAATCTTCCACGCTCATGGGATGGCGCCAACTCAGAAATATACCTGAAACAAATGTTAGCATAATCGGTCGAGATCGATCCCCCGTATGTCTTTCTCCGATATGAAGCAGGTATCCGTGAGCTACGTGACATACAATGGCGTGACCAAGCTCGCCCCACCAACAGCCAAGCCAACAACACTCCTCCCTACTATCATAGCACAAACAGTAGTGGCTACAGCCTGTATGAAAGCCCCTAGGGTAAAAAGGACGTCCGCAATGATTATAACCTTTTTGCGTCCGAATTTATCCGCCAGTATGCCCGCCAGCGGGCTGGCGACTAAAGCAAACAAGCTTGTGCACGATGTTACAAGACTCTTATCTAGAGTAGTGAGGGGACGATTAGAAAGATCCGAGCCGATCGACACGAGCGTTGATGAAATGACACCTGTGCTTTAGACAAATAATCAGCTACTTGAACTATCGGAATCTTTCTGCTCGCCGACTTGGAATCTCATGCCCGGGCCAAGAATGATCAATGAAACACCACCTACTCGTAACCAAAGAGAAGCCCACTGATTCCAGCAGAAAATGTCAAGGACCATATGAAAAAGCCCCCTGTCAGTGTTAAACTGGGCCGAGAAACCCGAGCGTCCCCACCATCGCGGCGTGACGCTCCATTTGCCAACGAGGGTTGGGAAAGTAAAGGGGCACTAGAATCCGCCATCTCATCCTCGTCCCTGCGACTCATAGCTTAATTGTTTATTGATGGGGGCGTGTGAAGAGGTTCGACATCGACATCTGCATTAATCGGTGTGTAAGGGTCTCCAAAGTTTCGTACGTAGTTCGAAATGGGAATCTAGCACTCGGATATCTGGGGAAGACTATAACTAGTTAAGTTAACTAGTTAACTAACAGTAAGTTATAGTTTACATAAGCAAGAGCGAGCCCACAACCCAGTTGGCGATGCCTGCCAAGCAACGCAGTCTTTTGCATTAATCACTACCTACGTGCATGCTCATTACCACCTACATAATACATATGTACGTGCTTTTGTAGACAGATAGTTGGGCTCAGCAAGACCAGTTCAATTGAGATTTCCACCACCTTAAGGACATAGGATACAAACACGCGTGGTAACCCAATGACGTTAGTACCTTCGTCTAGACCTCACTGGGCTCGATCATCCTAGGTCCTCTAACTCAGTGCGGAGCAGCTACTCCGGCCTCGTTGGCTTGAGCACTGATCAACTTCTTATAGGCATTCACAGTGCCATCGAATTTGTGGACCGTGCCCTTGTCGCAGACCCACAAGCTGGTGCAGACATTTTGAAGCATCGTCACATCATGCGATACCATCACTACACCACCCTCAAAGTTTTGCAGAGCCTCGGACAGCGCATCCATACCTTCAATATCCAGATGGTTAGAAGGTTCGTCCAGGACCAGAATGTGCGGGTTAGTCAAAGACAGGCAGGCGAAGGCGACACGAGACTTCTGGCCTCCAGACAGGAGCTCCATGCGCTGGAGGCCAGTCATTCCAGTGATACCAAAGCTATAATCAGGCAGAGGCAATTGTTAATAGATATAAGGCAAAGGTTAAGGCAAAGTAGAATTTCACTTACGCTCCAAGGTGTCTCCGGTATTCCTCGTCTGTCTTTCCTGGGTAGGTCTTTGCCATGAAACTCACGGCACTGGTCGTCAAATCCAAGGCATCCACATGATGCTGTGCGAAATATCCGATGCGCAGCCTGGCATGTTGTGATATGAAACCAGACGTCGGCTGAAGTTGAGCCGTTAACAACTTGAGCACAGTGGTTTTACCCGCACCGTTAGGTCCAACGATGCCAATACGTGAATCAAGCTGCACATCGAGGTCAATGTTTTTGAGAAGCGGTCTGTCCTTCAAATAACCAAATGACACATCCGTCATCTGTACAATAGGAGGGGAAAGCTTCTCGACATCGGGAAACTTGAAGTGAACGACATAATCACTCTCTGGGACTTCCAAGATGGGCATTCTTTCGAGTTTCTTGATTCTAGATTGCGCCTCAGACGACTTGGCGGCGTTGTACCGGAACTTATCGATAAATGCTATTCGGATGAGTAAGCTCCAACACAAAACTTTTGTATGATAGAGACATACCTTGCAGATGTGCGCGTTCGGCCATTTGTTTCTCGTATTCGCGTTTCGCATTCTTCTTCCGCTCTTCCTTAGTGGCATAGAATGAATCTGCGATATCATCAGCTTGAACATTTTTCTTCCAGCACTTTGAGGTACTTACCGAAATTGGCTCCCTTGTAGTAGTCGAGTCTCTCAGAATGCTGATGCATGATATCTGTGGCTACTTCGTTCAAGAAGGCACGATCGTGAGAAACCACAAGGATGGTGCTAGGATAGGTTTGTAGATAGTTGGACAAGAAGGTAATCGAAGGCACATCCAACATGTTGGACGGTTCTGCATACGATTAGCATTCTGTCGAGAGATAACTGCCGTAGTGTCACTCGATCATACCGTCCAGCAAAAGCAGATCAGGCTCGCAGAAAAGTGCCCGAGCCAAGGCCAATCTCATCCGCCAACCACCCGAGAATGTTTTCGTTGCAAACTGCTGCCTCTCGGGTGAAAAGCCAAGGCCGGCCAGGATACTAGCGGCACGAGACTCGGCCTTGTCCGATTCCATTTCTGCAAGCTTCGCATGAATATCATTCAAGGTAATATCCAATCCTTCCCTTTCGTGGTCAAGTCTAGCAGCATCCTTAGAAGTGTCTGCCATCGACGATCTCTCTGCTTCGATCTCGGCGAGCTGCTTAGTAATTTTCTGGAAGCAAGTCAGAAAGGTGAGACAGGTCGAAACAGGGCAGAAAACTGACCTCTAGGTCGGCCAATAGACGCTTGCGCCAGACATCAGCATCCAAAACTGCTTGAAGCGCAGGTGTATCATCACCCGTAATCTGGACATCCAGTCAGCAAACCATGGTTTTCTATGAGGTTTCGAGCACGAGAGACCAGACATACCTCTTGTTCAACATGAAGAATCGAGATATGGCTAGGGATTGCCACTTCACGCCGACTCAACGCGCGCAGAAGAGTACTCTTTCCGATACCGTTTTGACCCACGAGACCATAGCGTCGGCCATAAGCCAAAGCCAATGAAGCGTCGGTCAAGATACGATGCCCGCCAACAGAGATATCAATACTGTCAACCTTAATATCCTTACTCTTTGACTGGGAGTCAGAGCCAAGTTGAAGAGGGTTGACAGCCATGAAGAATTCCTCGTAGGACATGGTGCTGTCGGGCTGATTCAAGAGACGGGAAGATTCGTATTGCACCGTCTTCATCTGTTTCTTTTCCTGCTTAGCACGAATCTTTCGTTCTGCCTTCTCTAACTTCTTGCGGTCAACACGAGACTCCACTTTCCTGGCATTCGCAGACTCTAGGTCGACGTTGCCTCCCGCTAGACCCAAAGTCGAGGAGATGTTTTTCTGAGAGCC